ATTGAAAAAATGAGAAAGAAAAGGGAAAGAAAAAGGATAGAATCATGAATTCAATTAAGTAGTGGAGCTTAAAACCTAAATCAGATATGATTGAGTCTTGAAGAATATCAGTGTTTCAATCTCAATGATTATTCAGCTACTTTCCAAATATTCTTATCCTTAAGCCAGACCAAGTTATAACCCTGCAAGGCCCTGTTGATCAATCGTGCATGTGTTAATGTTCTTCATATTTAGAATCTTGAGAATAAAATCAAGCCTATGGTAGTGTTACAGCTGTGATGGAATGAGTGAGGTTGAACAACCAAACAATTGAGTGATGAGTGAATATTATGTCTTGGTGAGGGGTAATCAAGTTAAACTTTGATATTTGAAGGAAATTGAAAAGAACCGTCTTAAGTTTTGACATGGAAATCATTCATGCTTAGTATAGTAATCTTTATTATTGTCTGTGCAATGTTATGCTTGACTAATTGAACCTTGCTTCCCATGTTTAAATCTTGTTTATTGCTGAGGATAACAACATCTAAATCTGGGAATTATTTGATACGCGTCTAGCATATGATGCTTTCTAAGCTAAAAGAAGCAAGAAATTAATCATAAATGAGCGAAAATGGTTTATAAATGTTAGAAATATTGATTATTCCCTCTCAGTCGTTCTCTCACTCAATTTATACATTTTGATAGCAGGAAGCACCAGAAAAGAAGTGAAAGGAGGAAATTCAAAATTGCAAAGTCTCCGTGATCCGCGCGGTAACTGGCGCGATCCACGCCATAAGTTCAAATACTTACTGTTTTGCCGCGCGATCCGCGTAAATCTGGAGATTAGATGCGAATTGGATGCGAATTGCACTTGCTGAGGCCCATTTTGAGGGTAATTTTGGAAGATTTTTTTCCTAAACCTAATAAGGGAGATTAGAAACCAGGAGATGACACTTTTTCGGTGACAGGAAGAAAAGAACAAACAAGAGAGAGAGAATTCTGGAGGTTTCTTGGAGCTTTTGAAGAATCTCAAGATCAAGATTGAAGATCGTCATCCTATTCTTCATAATTAGGTTCTGAATGTTAGTTTCTTTTACATTGAATTCGTCAAACATGAATATGTCTGGCTAGTTTCTATTATTGTGGTAAGCGTCACAACCCTTAATGTGAACCCCTTGTAGTTTGGTTAAATTTATATTTATTTATCTCAATTGAGTTTTATTTTACCTTGTTCTTAATCTTATAATTCTTCTAGAATCGATCAATCTATTAGGATTGTGAGTGTTAGGGTTTTCAATAGGGATATTGGGATTTTAATTCCTGATAAAAGGTAAGATAATTGTTCATGTATGCACTAGGGATAGGCCACATGAACCGCAAACGTTAAAGATTCATTGATTCTAAGTCTTAATTTGCAAAGAAATTTCTAAGAGATTAGGAATCTACTAGAGTTAATAAGGTTAATGTCATTAAGAAATTAGGGCTTAACCAATTAAATAGAAGATAGTGAATCGTTTGATCAATTGAATAATTAAATATAAACGTTAATTCAAGTTATAAGGTGGGGATCATAAACGTGTTTGTTTCTCTTAACCGCAAAATATTTCCTTATATATTTTCTTAATCATTAATATTGTGTTATGGAATTTAAAACGAATCTTGAATTTTTTTTTTATTTCCTTAATTTGTTCTTACTTTTCATGAACAACAATTGTTCTCTAAACTGATTTTATCCATCCAACAAGAAAAGAATAGTTATAATAAATTTGGTGCTTCAATCCTCGTGGAGACGATACTCTACTTATCACTTATTACTTGGGACGATCGATATACTTGCCGAGTTTGCAACAAGACACAGGGGATATCATTTTTAATAATAAAAATAAATCTATTTTAATTCCTAAGCATGGAAAATTCATTAATTTAGTAATTGGTCCTTTAATAAATATTTTCAAATGATTTTTTCATATTAAACTTTGACCTTAAACTAGTTTGCGGAGCCATTTTGATATGGAAAAAATATATTGAAAGACCACTTTGATCTCAAATTTTGACATTAAAGTATGACTTAATGTTTCTATAAATGTAGATAAATTATCTACAGTTACTCTCAAAACGAAGTCATTTTACGTTGAAAAATTAAAAAATTATAATAAAAAAGATTATTATAATCCCGAAATAAATTATACTTACAAAAATACATTGACTTTCTCCCCAAAACGACGGGCTTAACGTAGATAACTTATTTACATTGATCGCAGAAAAAATAAATCTTCAAGTATATATTAACATATTTAATATCAAAATCCCAAATTAACGATATTTGTATCTAACAGAACAAATATAATTATTATTTGTTGTTGATGGGTAGGTTATGGTTATGACGTGTTATTATTCTATTTGATAATCATGTTTGCGGCCGCCTAAGGTCCTTTGGCTTTGATAGCGAGTGTCTCTGGCAACGTTCAGACACCACTTACAACCTGATCTTCTCCTTCTATGAAGGGACAAAAGAAGTGAAAACACTCCACCAAAAAACAAAAATAAAAGGAAGAGAAGCCAACAAAAAGAAAACACCAAAACTCAAAGCTGCCACTTCATAGTCATGCAGAGATGTCGTGTGGCGAAAGTAGATAGTGTCTCTATGACTCCTATAAGAAGAGGACTTCATATTATTTACTTCTTATCAATTATGGGTTTGTATTTAGTAATTTAGTGTCGACCACTCTTATCCTTAATTAACTTAATTCAAGTCTTGACTGTATAACGTTTTAATTGGGGCAATTTGTGGAATTTGTTCAAAAGCAAGTACAGGAGACACGAGAGGTGCTTCCTTCATTTCCGAGCTAAAAATAAATTCGAAAAGGTTGACACGTGTGTGTGTATATATAGTGACGGATCAAAAAAAATTTATTTATGAATTATGACTATATATTTAGGGATGGGGATTCGGCAATGGTGCCCTTGAATTTTTTTTAAATGTATTATAAACAAAAGAATATATATATATATATATATATATATATATATATATATATATATATATATATATATATATAAAAGAAAACTTGAACTTACTACAAAAATTAAGTACTTTTGGGTCATCAACAAAAATCAAGGGATCCAATTAATAATCCCTTAGAAAAAAAATCGACTCGTGATCGCTCTGAATTTCAAAATAGACTCATGTTACTCTTTCTAAGGGACTAATGTAGGTCTTCTTTGAATTTCAGAGGGACCACAATGTTGACTAACTGGGTCTATTTTGGAATTCAGAGGGACCGTAAGTTGACTTTTTTTCCTAAGACATTAAATTGGGAAAGTTTTTATGAATTAATTAATCATTAATTAGACAAGTTTTTTTCCTAAGCAACTTCTTTTATAAGACAAGTTTTTATTTTTTTGTTGCAGCACTCACATCAAAATTTATGATTGTTTTTTAAAACATAGCAAGCCCCATCTTAAACTCTCTTTGCATGAAAGAAACAAACTTTTCATGTGAAAAAAAAGTTGTTTATCTTCTATACAAAAAAAAAAAATTGTTTATCCTCTCTCTATATATAGAGAGGATCAGAATCATTTTACACCAGTGTAAGACTAACAAGTCTTACACCATATCCCAACCGTTGATCTCGGTTCATCTAACGATTATAATTGAGAAAGTCATATGAATTAATTAATCATTAATTACACTACAAATACCAACTGATGATTTTCGTCCATCAACGTTGAGAAGTGGTGTAAAACTTATTAGTCTTACACTAGTGTAAAAAAAGCATGCCCCATATATATATATATATATATATATATATATATATATATATATATGGGTGAGGATCATTTTACACCAGTGTAAGTTACACTCTCAATCTTATCCGTTGATCCAATTTATATCTAAGGGCTCAAATTTTCTAGTAATGTGAGCCATTGGATACAAGTGGATCAATGATCAAGATTGAGTGTAAGACTTCTAACTCTTACACCGGTGTAAGAATATCCTGCCCCTATATATATATATATATATATATATGTATTACGGGCTTATTATTTCTCACGTTGCCGGAGATAAAATTATCTCCGACTACTAAATCATAACTGTACAAAGATAGATCAACGGTGATAAAAGATGAGAGATAAAAGGGAAATCATAACCATTCAAAGGTGAATCAATACATATAAGGAAATAAATAATCAAAACGACGTCGTTTTGAAATAGCCGGAGATAAATTTATCTCAAGCAGCTTGAGAAATGTTTTTCCCATATATTACATAATAATATCAATTTGGCGGGTTTCTTTATCTTCACTCCTCAAAAGAAAAACTTAGCCAACCATAATTTTATGAAGCTTTTATCATAAAAATAATTTTTTTATAATGAATAAAAAATAAAAAAAATTAGGAGAGGTTTTTTTAAGATATACATCAATTTGAAAACATTAGAAATTACTTTACCAAATAACTTAGTTTGAGCTTCAAAAAAAAAATTTAAGTTAAAAATTATATATAATTAAAAAACAGCTTTTAAATAAAAACCAAATGATTATTGAATGTGATTGTATGATTTCAAAAAAAAAAATTAACTAATAATATAAATGATTTTTTATTCAGTTTAGATAAATTTTACGCATACCTGAATTAATATAAAAATGGCACCGTATTCTTTTGGGATAGATTTTAAACTCGAATACCACTTTTACTAATAAAAAATTATAAAAGTATCATTCCAACAAATCAGACGTCTTAAATATAACCAAAAAAGTCATGGATGACCTTAAGTTAAATTAAAGGGCCCACGTTGAATTCAATTCATGTAAAGAAAGTAGAAAGGGGTCAAAAAGGCAACCCGAGGCATAACCTGGACCGTTCAAAATAGCGCATTTGGTTGCATGTACGTTCATTCATTTTAAATAATTGTCACTCTGATCACAAACACAACAGAGCAACGTTAGTATAAATGTATAATAATAACTTCTTCAGTGCACAGTTCCATTTCGCTCTAACTTCTTTTCTCTTATAAAACTATGGCTTGTCTGAGCCAAGAGGCCCTGGTTTCTCTTCATAAAACGCTGTCTGAGCATGAAACTGAGGAAAAACAAACCAAATGTTTTGGTTCTTTCTCTTCTACGCCTTTGGAGAAAGTTTTCCCCGTTTATGCCATGGGAATTCCCAACTCAAATTCTCTCTCTGTCAGAGAATCTTCTCCTCACCATTTGGATTGTCCTGACCCAATTTGGGACGCTGTCAGAGTTGAAGCCAAGCTGGAGGTATCCATAATTTTTATTTTTATTTTTTATTTCCTCGTGTTTTTTATGCATTTTTTTCCTCATCAATCTTCTTTGGTTACGTTTTCCTAGTGTTTTATTATAAACCAACTCTCCCAAAATCCACATAAATAAATTTATATTACATTCTTAATATAAATTGTGAGGATTAAATTTGTGATCCTATAATTGCTGAGATTCTGATATTATGTAAACAACTATCTCACGTAAAAGGTAAAACTATTAAGTGAAGGTCTTTTTAATTATTTTTATACTTCTCTTACACTTAATATATCTCCTTTATGCCAAAAGCCTTGTAGAATTGGAGCATGAATAATGTGTAAGCCCAACCATTATGTGTTTGAACTTTTATTATAAGAATTAAAATAATAAAATCGAACTTAGACCACTTGATGATAGAGATTTTGAGATTGTTATAAAGCGATTTTATTAAAAATTTAAGCATTTAGATGAAGATATATGAATGTTTTTACATTAAATCCTTAATAATTTTGGATATTAGATGCTGATCATGAGAATTGGTTTGAATAATTGAGAATTTCGTGAATTCTTTAATTTGTCAGTTTATTTTTCCTCTGTGAGTGTAAACTGTGTATATATAATTGTGATAAAATATAAAGTTGGATGCTTCATTTTGCATATTACATTAGTGTTGGAGAACATTTACATATTTTATATATCGTGATATAGCATTATTTGTGTGCAGGCAGAAAGGGAGCCAATTTTAAGTAGCTTCTACTATGCCAGTATTCTGTCACATGAATGCTTGGAGCAAGCATTGGCGTTTGTTATTGTCAATCGTCTCCAAGATCCTACTCTTTTGCCAACTCAGCTAATGGATATATTTTGTAAAGTGATGATGCATGATAAAGGTATCCAGCGATCTATTCGCTTGGATATCCAGGTAATCAATTACTTGATTTACTTCATTTCACAAGCATAGGAGTAGGACATGCATGCATGATGTTTATCTTGTATAACTTTGGATTGTGTAATGATCTGATTTTATTAATTTTGGTACCTTTTTCTGCCAGGCATTTAAAGATCGGGATCCTGCTTGTTTGTCATATTCCTCAGCTCTTTTATATATGAAGGTGAATCTTTCTATTTTTCACCAAGTTTCTAGCCGTATGCGCTTACTTGATTTGCGTAAAACCACTCATTAAATTTCAATTAGTGAGAATCACAAAGGAGCCCTCTACCACTTCTTTAGACCCGCACTATTTATTTGACTTGATTTATTATTATTTTTTAAATCATGTAGTATAAATATTATATTAGAAAACAAGACAAAAAGGACAGAAATAACATAAAGTAAGTATAGAGGTTCAGCCACGTGGCTTATATCTATTGTAATGAATTTTCTCCCCTTCTCAATTGTTTTCAAGGAAAGAGGTTGCCTTTGGTATAAATAGTAGGTGATACAATAATTATGTCAAATTATTTCACCTACAATCAAAGAAATCAAATAATTTGTTATCTTTTATGGGTTATATTTTATGGAAAAATATTTTCTCATATTATAGGAAAATTCTTTTCTTCTACCAATGACCCTTTGATTTTGGTGCAGCATTTTCTTTTGTTTTTTTTTTGTTTTTTAATAGATGCGGGCCTCACACAAAATATGTTTATAGTATGAGAAAATTTTCTCCTACTTTATGAGAAAATTGAAACCCATACTTTATACATGATTATAATTAATCAAAACTCTGAATTTATCTCCACTACCACTAATATCTCCAGCATAGTAAGTGACGGGATTCCCTTGGAATCTAATTAATCTATTATAAAATGAAGGTTAGGAATGCAAACATTTTTATGATGCTATAATTTTGTGCCACTAGCCAGACATAAGTTTATTCGAAAGGAGTGTCACTCTTGAAACATAACCTAACTAATTAAATTGCTGGGAAGATGGTCATGCTAGTTAATGTTTCAGCATAATCTGATGGTACTGACTTGTTCATTGTGTTCAAGCATTTGATTGGATAGCATGGTGTTTTCATCGAACATTCAGCGCATTTAAATTTCCTCTATATTTAATGTCCCTTCCCCAACATTTCCCTTTCGTTCATAGGATTTATTCTCCTACAGGGTTACCATTCCTTGCAAGTATATCGAGTAGCGCATGCTTTGTGGGGCCAGGGACGCAAAGTGTTGGCCTTAGCTTTGCATAGTCGAGTTAATGAGGTAATGTTTACTTGGTCAAAACTAGACAATTACTACGTAAGGGTGTTTCATATTTCTGATGCTGATGATCGAATTTCCCTAATTTTCTGTGCTGTAGGTTTTTGGAGTTGATATACATCCCGGTAAGTTAGTTTGATCTCTGTGTGTGTATATATATATATATATATATATATATATATATATATATATATATATATATATATATATATATATATATATATCCGTCGCTTCTCATGTGACTGCTGATGAGAAAAGTTGCAGCAAATTTTTAACACTAGGATACATGCGGCGCGTGCGGATTCTATCAAAAAAAAAAAAAAAACCAGGATTCGGACGCGTATCCTGTGTTGCTGCACTTTTTCTCTTCTGCAGTCACATAAGAAGTACTTTCCCCTATATATATATATGAAAAAATGAAAATAAAGTGTCTGGACGGTCCAGTGCACTAAGTTCTCATGCGAAAACAGTGCAATAAATATTATAAAGGTGTTCTCTCGGGAGAACATAGTTATACTATTTACCATAACTATGTTCTCGCAGGAGAACTTAGTGCACTGGACCAAATTTTACATCCAGTCACTGTACACTCACTAAACCCATATATATATATATATATATATATATATATATATATATATATATATGGTTTTATATTTATCATGTTAGATGACCTAAACATAACAAGAACATTTTAGGTCATGTATAGGAATGTGTGAAAAAAAAAATCATGTGGACCCTACATCTTGAATGTGTGTATAGGAACATCTTAGAGAGCCAGCAAAACAGGCTCAGCTCAGCGGGCCAACCCGCCTCACCAACTAAACGGGGCGGGGCAGACTCATTTTTTGGAGGGTTGATGGCGGGCATTGGCGGACCAGTGTAAAATAGGCTCGGGCTGGCGGGCCAACCTGCTCAACCCGTCAAACGGTGCAGGGCGGACAGAGTTTTTCAGCCCAATTTCAAAAGCGGGGCAGGATGGGCTGGCTCATTTTTGGCGGGTTGATGGCCGCCCCGCCCACTTTGTCACCTCTAATCTTAGGTCATGTAACATAACAAGATGTATGGTCTATATAATTTTTTTCCTCTTTCTGTCTCCTCTTGAATGTGTATGTACGAACATTTTTTTAGGTCATGCATGATAAATATAAAACCCATATATATATATATAGATAGGATTCTTTGACACCAGTGTCAAATTTGAAATTTGACACCTTATCTGAGAGCCGTTAGATAAAAAAAGATCAATGATGTCATATGTTTACAAATCAGAGTCGTTGATCTTTTTTTATCTAAGGGCTCTCAGATGACATGTCAAATTTCAAATTTGACACTGGTGTCAAAGGATCCTATCTCATATATATATATATATATATATATATATATATATATATATATATATATATATATAATATAGGAAAATGAATATTCAGTGACTGAACGGTCCAGTGCACTATGTACTCCGGGAAGTACATACTTATAATAAATATTATAGCTATGTACACTGATGTATTTTCAGGAGTACATAGTTATAATATTTTATTATAACTATATACTTCCGGGAATACATAGTGAACTGCACCAAATCTTAGGTCACATTCGCTTTACTATATATATATATATATATATATATATATATATAAAAGAAAGAGTCATATAGTGACTGCCAGCTAATTTTTCTTTTGACACACCTTATATCCTTTCACTCTCACAAAGAGGTGGGACCCACACCTTTAAAACTTTTCCCACTCATTCTCTATCCCATGATTTATCTCTTTTTCTCACTTAAAATGACACAACTTTATATCCTTCAAAATAATACAGACTTTCTCCTTTTTCTTTATATTTTCCTGAGGGCTTATACTTTTTAATTCTTGGAAGCATGTAAATAACTGATTTTCTTAATTTTTCTTTTAAGTGTGGGATAGCTGATATCTTGAGTTTTGTCTTTAAGGAAGCATGTCTCTCTTGTTCAAGATATTGAAAGCTTTATGGTTTATCCTATCATCAAAATTAACATTTTTATGGTTTCCTTTTTCTTTTTCTATATAGCTTCGAAAATTGGAGAGGCAATTTTATTAGATCATGGAACAGGATTGGTTATTGGTGAAACTGCTGTCATTGGAAACAGAGTTTCGTTGATGCAAGTGAGTGGTGTTTCTTCATTCATATTTTTTATGATCATTTTTTGCTGGTTCTTTTCTTAAAATGTGATACTTCAGAAATTCAATGAAGACATAATTTAGTCCCTAAAAAAGGATCAATATGAGTATTTTTTTTTGTAAAAAATAAAAGTGAGGACCGTATTTTTTGTTAGGGATCCAAAAAGAATTTTACTCTTATTATTATTATTTTTTGCATGTGTTTCTATAAGAGAAATTATTTTAGAAATTTCTTTATCAAGTTCTTTAGGAGTAATCGTTATTTTTTTTTATCATATTAGTCCTTCTAAAAATATGAAACTAAAAATCACTTCTCATTAAAGCCAAATACAGACTAGCAGTGAGATGGGATGAGAACAATCCGTATATATATTATCGCCCTGATTTTTTGTTATAACATTAATTTCTCAAATATCTAAAAGCTTATTAAATTAATCCTCTACAAATTTTATCACCAAATAAGTGTTTTAAAATCTAATTTATTATCAAACTCGTCTTCTAATGTAACAATTTTGATATTTTCTAAGAAAGAATTATATGATAACATTTTCGATCTTTGAGAGATTAATTTAGTGACAATTTTTTTGCAAAAACTATTATAACAATTTAAATATTGAGAAAAATGTTTGTCCTTTTAAATGACATAATTTATGTCATTTTACTCTCACAAAGAGGTGGGACCCGCACCTTTATATTTTTTTGTCAACTCTTTCTTTCTTTATCTATCTCTTTCTTTCACTTAAAATGACACAATTTTACATCCTTTGAAATGATACACATTTTTCCCTTAAATATTTGTGGGAATAGTTTAGTAGTACAATTTTTTGAAGGATTAATATGATGAAAATATAAGCTCTGGCGTTGTTCTTATAATTATTTTTTGTCAATTCATTACAAATGCTTTTAGCTAACAAATGCTAATTTGAACACTATACTCGATCATTATGTTAATTACATGATATATTTGATTTGACAGGGTGTAACAATAGGAGGCACGGGGAAGGAAGTAGGTAATCGCCATCCCAAAGTAGCTGATGGTGTGTTAATTGGAGCTAGTGCAACTATACTCGGGAATATAAGAATTGGTGAAGGTGTTATGATAGCTGCTGGTTCCGTCGTGTTAAAAGAAGTCCCTCCACACAGGTAAATTATACTAATTATAGCTTTTAACCATGTTTAGTACTTTCAGCTTTTACCAGAATTGTTTTGTAATAAAAGGGATGTTTCTTTGGTTTTGTTTCAAAAGCATTGTGGCAGGTATCCCAGCTGAGGTTATAGGACATCTATGTGAGCTTGAACCCTCTTTAACCATGAAGCAAGGTAAGCAACCACTGGAGTATGTCTAACCGTTGAGAATTCCTTTCTAAATGGCTTTAAAGTAAAAAGAGGGAATTTATTGAGTTTGTAAAAAAATTTATAACTTTTTACATGGCTATATATTAAAGCTTTGAAATGAATGAACAGATCAACTAACTAGCGAGGATGAAAGAACAGAAGACATGAATTTCAATTGAAGCTTGAACAGGTGCTTGGTACATTTTATAACTTTGGAACACTAGTCCTCATGCTCTTGGGACGCATCACCATTAGTGCCTAAGTACAAGGGATATCTCACCGTTCTCTTGTTTGGTACCTCGCCCTCTTAAAATAAATTGAAATAAAAAAAGTGTTTGAATTCTCACAAGATTGAATGATGCCAGTTAAAGTCCAATAGATAGTTATAATTATAAGTAGACTCACTAAACTCAAAACTGGAGAATGATGGACTGAAGAATAATTGATAGACGTACTGTTCAAAAGATGTTTAACAGATGTTTCATAGTTGTAATAAATCTCCCAACTATATTGTATTTGGGATGCATTAAATGCAAATTGTATTAAATGAGTTCTAGCATTCAAAAAATAATTATGTTGAAGGGTTCAATTAAATTTTCTCTTGCATTATTTTGAATAAAAATCTTGTACTCAGTCTTCAAATCTATGACCTATGATCTGTCACTAAACACAACTAGAAAAATTTTAATTACCGAAGGAATTCATCAAAGGAAATATTCCGTTGCAAATAGTGACAGAATTTTCAACGAAAATCCAATTCCGTAAAAAATAGAGACGAAATTCCATAAAAAATAGAGATAAAATTTATTGACGAAAAATATCCCATTAAAAATAGTGACAGAAATTTTCAATGGAAAAATAATTTCGTAAAAATTTTAAACGGAAAACCAATTCCGTAGAAATTTGCAACGAATTATTTTCTGTCGAAATTTGAGATAGAACTTTTTTCCGTTCAAATTTGCAACAAAATTTTAAATTCTATTGTAAATTTCAACGGAAAAAAATCCGTTGAAAATTTTGAATAAAAACACAATCCTGCTTGAATAATTTAAAATTTGCAAGGGAATTAAATTTCGTTGAAAATTTTGAATAAAAATACAATCCACGTGAAACCTCATTGCCAATGGAACACTTGAATAATTTAAAATTTGCAACATAATTTTTTCCTTTGAAAATTTCAAATTAGACTTTTATATATCACTACATTTCATTAATCCCCAACGTTTTTCACAGTTTCAAATAGCTAATGGGGAAGCAAAACGCAGCAGAGAAGCAAACGTTAAGAGGAATAAATCCATGGTGGCAAAGAAGCCACCACCGGTGGAGAAGAGGTCGAAGGTTGGCAAGAAGCTATCGAAGGAGGGTTGTGCTCCACCAACGAAAAGAAGGAAAGGAGAAATGATAAGTGTCAAAGAAACTATGTTTCTAATATCAAATATAGTTCAAATAATAATTAATGTGATTAAAAATATAGTATTAATTAATAAATCCAAAAGATATCAACATTCGAACAAATAGATAAGATTTTGATCCCTTTTAATATTGTTTCAGGTTTAAAGTAATTAATTACAAATACTAAGAGATAAAGGCAGTTGCAAAGGAGAAAGATCAAGAAAAATAAACGATTAATCAGAATTAATTCTTGTTCAACGAACCTGGTTCAAATTAAAAGCTCGGTTGTATTTCTTTAAGAGGGACACAATTAGGGCTTTTGAGAGGAATTCTGGGACGCGACAAATAAAGGCTGGGAGGCGGCCAGAGATGACTTAGGAGGTGGCCAGAGATGACTTAGGAGGCAGAGAAACTCCGTTCCGGACATGAGGAGTGGAGAAACGGTCAAAGCTTCACCGAGGAGACTGAGTTTTATGTTTCTTTTATGAATTTTAGTTTCTTTTCATCTTTTAATTCTATTGTTATGATTATGCAAAACTAAATTTCTCTAAGTAGTTAGGGCGAGACAGAACTAATAGGTTCTTAAACGCTGTTTGTTTTTCTTATTATTTATATTCTTGATTTAAAGTTATGCAATCAATCTGTTAATTATGATTAGCTTTATTTATGAATTGATCACTCGTAGATAAACATATGAGTCGTGCATGACAATAGGGATGTTGATGTATTAATTCTAATGGGTTGATTGCTAGAGTTTGTATGATCTAGGGATAGACTTATGAATTGTATAACTGTAAGGTTCTTGTGTTAATGCTTATTTTATGAACAAGTACTAAGGGATTAGGCTTTTGAGTGAAATAAACGATCATATTACAAAGGGATTGAGGTCTAATCAAATATAGAAAGAATTGTTAATAACTTGATCTTAAATGTAATTATAAGAATAGGTAGACTCGTTAAGAAAATATTAGGGAAGTTGAGTCCTAGCTACGTCTTTTATTAAAGTTTAAAACCAATTTTCTAGCATTATTATTTCTGAATTTAATTTCTTAAATATTGAAAACGAAAAAATAAGTAGTTTAAAAATTCTGTTTTAATTAAATTAAAATGTTCTCAAGAAAACATTTCACGACGGATCTAACTTTAATTAAATAGATAAATTAGTGATTGATTATCAGTCCTCGTGGGATCAACAACTTTATTTTATCACTTTATTACTTGTACGACTGGTGCACTTGTCGAAGTCGTAACAAGAAACAAAAAGATGAAATAGCGATGCTTTGATAAGAAAAAATTTGTAATTTTTTTTCAAGTTTTCTTTTTTGTTATGGTGATAAAGCCGTAGTTTTATTTTTGTATGAAAAAAAAGAGAAACAAGAGGATAAGGCCATAATTTTTTTTTCAAGTTACAGTGGTAAAAATAGGGTCTAGTCAATCCTTTTATTGGTATGAATCTAAATGAATAATTTTTTCATATTTGATTGACATGTTAAAATTCGGAAAAAGATAAATAGGATAGTAACTAAATCTAAATTTTAGTAGAGCACAATAGTTATATTCCTAATTGTGATAAAGTATGAAACAATACCCATAATATATCATAAGATTTGCAAGCTAACATTCTAGTAAAGTAAAATAAAATAATAAAATATATCCATTACACATATGTTTTTCTAACTTATACTCAATTTAAAATATCATTTTCTAAGAACAATTAATTTTTTTTCTCTCTAAATTTCAAGAACTATACTTCACAAAACTTTACATGTGTTTTGAAAAAAAGAAGAAAAAAAAAAACTTTACATGTTTATAAATTTTAACCATACATTAAAATGTTACTATAAACCAACTAAAAAAAAAGCAAACTAATGACTCAGAATTGAATAGAAAGGGAAGAACACATGAATATAGAAGGGATCTTCAGAATTTCACATACATGACTTAAAAAATTGGTTTACTAACTTTTCTCTATAGCCGTTAGGATGATTTTTGAGTGTAGAAAACCATGCTTTGTGGGAAACCTTTTGCCAATCTCTTCATCTTTTTACATTTTGGATATACTCTTAATGCCAATTACGTTGAGAGGAATAATAGCGGACTCATTTGAGAAGAGTAGTGCAAACGGAATGTGTTATAAAACAAAACGGAATATGCTGAAAACGTGTTACAAAATAATAGATAATTAGAAGAAGAATAGAGACGAGAGAAATAAAATAATAGGTAACCAAAAAAGAGTAAAAGATAACTTTCCTTTATATTATAATAACTTTATATGCTTCTATTTATCAATTCTGAATAAATTGTAAGTTATAACATAATAAATGATAAGAATGAATTATTTCTAGGAGTTACAATTTGGAATAATATCTTGGGATTATGAACATCCATATAATTATATTATTTATAACATACTCTAATTTTATAGAAAATATAACGGAGTTGACCCTTTTTTCTCTTTCTAATTTTTCTTTGGATTTCTTTTTTTTTATTTAATTTTAGAGTTAAAGATTATAAGGGGCGAAAAAAAAATCATGTTAATTCGGCCGTGCATAATTTTTAGAGTAAACACCATTTTTAGTCCCTGTCAATATCTACGAATTCCTTTTTAGTCCCTGGCAATAAAAAAGGACCAAATTGGTCCCTGAAATTACAAAAAAAGGGGCCATATTAGTCCTTATGTCAACTTCCAAATATGTAGAGTGACCATTTTCTTGTACTTTCAGGGATCAATTTGGTCCTTTTTTATTGCTAGGGACTGAAAAAGACTTCGTAGATATTGCGAGGGGGTGTTTACTCTAATTTTTAATACTTGTGAATGCTGGCTCGTCTACCTTCACTTATTCTAAAGTCAAGAAGCATTTGGGTTGTCAATTTGTTAACTAATTTGCAGAACGCTGATTAATATGAGAGAATTTATTGTGTTCGGACCATCATTTTTTAGGTGGTCCCTTAGTGTAAATGAAAGGGTAAAATTGAAAAGAAAAAAAAAATAACAGGGGTTAAATGAAAAAAAAATTAGTGTTGTAAGAGGAAACACCAAATCATTAGTGATCCTAGAGCATATTAAATATTTTCGATTAATATAAACAATTTATATTCTCAAACCAAACCTATCAAATCAGGTGCGCGTCAGACTTGTCAAGGATATGTGCCACGGATATGACGTATTGTGACACGAATATGTCACGGAATGTGTCCCTAAATATGACGCATCTTGATATTGTGCTCGTTAGATTTGTTAGAAACGCGCATCTAATACAGACTTGTCAGAAACGCGAATTTGGTACAGATGTGTTCAGACACGTACATGGTACAAACGTGTTCAGATTTGTCAGAAACACGCATGTGTCAGGTGTGCGACTAAACACGTAACCACCTGAAACGCGTCTTCCTGCATTAGTTAAGTAAAACGTTTGGTCAATAACTAAATAGGTAGATTTTTTTGAAATTTGCATTTTTTTTTTCAAAAACCCTCCTAAGCAGTTTTAATATAACTGCAGATATATGAATTTTAGAATATATTTTACTATATGCTAAAATATTGATGTTAGCTATGGTTTAATAGATGTAAACGTCTGTACTAAAAAAAAAAAAAAAATAGATGTAAACGGTTGGGATAAAGGCATGCAATTCCTACAGTTTTTTTTAAAACTTCAGGATCCTAATCCAGTTGATTCTGTGCAGGAATTACTGAAGACAAAGTGTACAAAATGACTTTTTTCCTTCCTTCAACCATTCAAGCATAAAGCAAGATCTTCGTGCGGAGTTCAACACAGTAGTTCAATATGTTTCATCTTCATTCAATTTATTAAGGGTAGATTTCATCTTACATCCATTAATATCAATTTCACATGGGACTCAAACCATACAAACTTTCAAAATAGATGTATTAATAAAATCGAAACTAAACTCCTTGGCTTCCCCTTTTGGCTGAAATCAAAACCATCCCAAAACAAAGTCAAAGTGCAAATGAAAAATCCTAACTAGGACACAAATTTGGACAAAGCATGACACACAAAAAGTTAAAAAAGCCAAAACTGCTGGAGACCTTTTTATAAGTGACACTCTGGAGATTAGACAAAATGCATAGGAAGAATCAGTGTGTCCTTCTCTAAGTGTGCTTGGCTTGGAAATCCTTCATGAAAGCCACCAACTTCTCAACCCCAGCTAAAGGCATGGCATTGTAAATCGAAGCTCTCATACCACCCACCGACCTATGTCCCTTAAGCTGAACCATCTTTTCCTTAGCAGCCTCCATGATAAACTCACCCTCCAACTCTGATTTCTCCAATGTGAAAGGCACATTCATCAATGACCTCACTGACATCTCAACCGGGCATCTATAGAAGCCCTTGCTCTCATCAATAGCATTGTAGAGAATCTCAGCTTTCTTCTTATTCTTCTTCTCAACCTCTTTCAAACCCCCTTGCTCCAACAAGTCCTCAAACACCAACCCACACATGTAAATGCCATAACAAGGAGGGGTATTGTAAAGTGAGTTGTTCTCAGCATGTATCTTATAATCAAGCATAACAGGGGTCATACCCTGAGCATTCCCAATCAGATCATTTCTTATGATCACAATGGTGACCCCAGAGGGCCCCACATTCTTCTGAGCACCAGCATAGATCATTCCGAATTTGGACACATCCACTGGCTTAGAGCAGAAATTTGAAGACATATCAGCCACCAAAATCCCATTTTGATTCTTGGGTGTTGGGTAATCCTTGAATTCAACACCATGAATGGTCTCATTTGCACATATATGCAAATACCTGGCATCTGGGTTCTGCTCCAAATCAGCAAAAGATGGAATCTTTGTGTACTTTTCCGGTTTCCCAGACCAAATCACATTGGGTTTGCAAAACTTCTGAGCTTCCTTGAAGGCCTTGTCGCTCCATGAACCGGTGACAAGGTAATCAGCCGGTTCGCCGGTTTTGCAGATGTTAAGCGGCAGGGCGGCGAACTGGGTGGTGGCGCCGCCTTGGAGGAACAAGACGGAATATTCCGACGAGATTTCCAAAAGGGTACGCAGATCTGCCTCCGCTTTCTGGATTATGGAGAGGAATTCTTTGCCTCTGTGGCTCATCTCCATCACGCTCATGCCGGATCCGCGCCAGTTGTAGAGCTCAGACTGGGCCTGCCGGAGAACCTTCTCCGGCAGGGTGGCGGGACCGGCGGCGAAGTTGAAGACCCGATCTTGGGAATGGGTCTGAGCCGGTGGGCCATCCTGGGTCAGCGGTTGGGCTTGGGTGGTGGCGCATTTGATGGAGATGGGCTTGAAACTCGTGTTGGTTCGTTGAGAGGTAAGGGTAATAAAATTGGTGTTGTGGGTAGTGGGATTCTTGAAAAAGTGATTCCGGTTTTGGGGAAGAAGATGAGTGTGAGGTGAAGTTGCCATTGATATTGACATAATGGTGGTAGTTGTAGAGATTGTTAAGTGAGAGAAAATAGAGAAAGAAATGCAGAGGGGAAGAAAAAGACTCGTTGAAAGTTTCCCTTTTTTAATTTTTTAGGTGTTTTTGACGAAGATCTAAATCCAAAGAAGGTGCATATATATAGAAGAGTGAGTTTTTAATCTCTGTTTGCATGAATGTAAGAAAAAAAAATTATGCATTATTATTTAGAAAAAAAAAATTTAAAAATAAAACTATTTTATATTTGGATCAGCATTAAATTGATTTTTTAAGTAAAAGTCGATATACATACAATCCTAGGTGAATATACATAGAATGTAAAACCTTTAATTTAAGAAATAAAAAAGGCAAGTTTCTTTTTTAATTAATATTAAATTAAATTGGAATTGAATTTATTACTAAAAAGTGTTAACAAAATAAACAATAAAAAATACGCCGTCGCAATTGCAAAACGGGGGTTGGTGGAAAGTTGGTGGGCAATGAAACGACGTGGTTTGGATTTCGAAGTGTAGGAATAGCGAGTGGGGGTACCTTTTTCTGAAGCAGAGGTGGTTGGTTCACCTTGTCCAATTTTTATTTTCCCATGTTTAAAACGCTTGCGCCGAACACAAGTTTTTAAAAACCATCACATGATAAAAACTGGGGAAAATTAAAACTCAGTGCTGCCTAGTAAATAAATGAATGATTAAGTAAATATTAATTAACTAATCAAAATTTAAATAGATTATTGGTTTATTAAAAGAAGATTGTTAATTTAATTAATTTGATATTTTCTTAATTAATATAAGAATTAAAATAGACAACTTCACCTACGGTACAAAGTATAACGAAAAATATCTTGGTGAACCGAACTTTTGGGGTGTATTTGGTACAGGAAAAAAAAAATTTGACCAAGTATCATTGGAAATCCGAAAATACCGAAAATACCCCTTATAAGTGTGAGGTGAAGTTGCCATTGATATTGACATTGGAAATTTGAAAATAAAATATTGATGGAGAAATATATTGAAAACCCAAAAATACCCCTTATAAATTTCGAATCTGAATTGAAATAGACTCGTGAAAGTATCATTGGACACCTCTGCAACCAACGTTCCTCTTCCGTTCTCCATTTTTTCGTTTCTCTGTGTCGCTCCTTTGGAAGTGAGGTACCATCACTTCGGCGATGGTCAGACAGTGGTTTGAACTGTAAGTGAACACCAACATTTTTTTCGGTAAATAAGTTTGAAATGGTTGAAACCTCGAAGTTTTACAAAAAATAAAAATTGAAACCTTTTCGTAGTTTTTTTTTGTTACTCGAAATGAAAAAAAAATGAAGTGGTGCTACATATATGGGCAGTGGCTACAACGATGCAAATGGGAATGTACCCTTGGCTATGGAAATGCAGCATGGAGATCTGAACCACCTTCAGTCATGAGGACATTTTGGTACTCCTCAGGGAAATGGTGGCCATGGTCGACAAGGTGGATATGGTGTTGACTATGGCAGTGGTCAGGCCGGACAAGCCCAACACCAGTAATTTTTAGTTATGTATCTTTCATTGGTTCCTCAGCTTGAACTTGTGGATGCAAGTGTTTAAATACGTTAGGAGTGTTCATCAACTGATCCAAACCAATTCAAACCGCGGTGACCGAACCGAAACACCAATAACCGAATAAATCGAAAACCGAAAAACTGAAAACTGATTAAAACCGCAAATTTTAATTGGATTGGATCGATTTTTGGATGGGTTGATGAAAATCGATCCAATCCAAACTGATCCAATATATTAATTTCCCTCTACCTACTTGGGTATTTCCCTAATCATAGCCTAAAAATTTCTAAACCCAAGACCCATTAACCCATCAACTAAATCCAAGAAAAAATCTAGTCATATCTCATCAACAAAATTTTATCTTTGTAGAGCTTCAAATCTCATTGCCAAAATTAAAAAAATTATATTATAGTTTACTAATGCTTTTGTATTTCAATTTTTTTTTTACAAAGCCAATATATTCAAAAAATGTTATTTGCACAATAATCATGAAATAAATTTTAGGATTTCAAAAAATCGAAAACCGATCCAATCCAAACCGAAAAAAATTGGATTGGATCAGATCGGATTTGAAAAAAAATCAAAACCGAATAGATGATTATATGATCAAACCGAAGGGATTGGATCGGATGATTTTTGCTTCCAAAACCGATCCAACCCAGACCGCGAACACCCCTAAAATACGTGCTCAATGATCCTCTAATCTGCGGCATTGGAGAGTCTGAAGTTCGATGTCAACATACAATGGGACTGGTTTGGTTGCAGTATCCCCCTTAGTCTAGAATATGTATATTTTAAGAGATACTATGCTAGTTTCTATTTACACTCTTTATGCGTGTAGCTTGAAATTTGTGTGCTTATCATCCTGGTATTTTTTGATTTGTTAGTTCTTTGTTGCATTTCAGATATAGTAGCTTTTTTATATTTGGTTTGATTGAGTTAATTATCTTTATGTGTAACAAGCTTATGTACCAAAAAAAGACCTATAATTGAAGTGGAACTTAACTATTATCGGACTCTTTGCATGTCTCAGTAATCCACACGCTAGTAACGGTGGCAGGAGCTTTGCAAACGATAAGAGCCTTAATTGAAGGAAGCATGGGTGGATGTGGGTTTGGAGTAGGTGCGTCGGAAAGCATAATTTCCAAGCATTCGTCATCGTGGTCCCCATCAAGGGTGAAGATATACTACTGTGGAGTGCTGGCTGTGTTGCGAATGTTTTAGACGCCAAGGAATCCAGGAAGGCAGTTTTTTGGGTGTCCTAATTTCATAACCAAGCAGGAGTGCCATTTCTTCGAATGGTTTGAAGAACCAACATGCCGTAATTGTGTTAAGAATGAGAAAATGTTAAAATTATTGGTAGTTTTGGTTATTGTAATTGTAATAACATTTGGGATTATCATGAGAGAAATGTTTAAGTATCTTTGACTTGTATTTTGATGGTAAGCAACCTATTGTGCATTACCAAGTTGTAAGTCCAGATTGTGCAAATGTAAATTTGTTGAAATGTGGACGTGGAAGCGTTTGGTCTATAATATTTAGACTTGTATTCATGTACTCTGTGTTAAATTGTATGCTGTCTTTGATGTAGACAGGCTATTAAGCAGTCATTGCACTTATTTGGTTGCAAGCTTTTGCTAAACGAACTGGTTCATCCTCTCCATGTATATGTTAATGTATGCAGCATTTTAAGTTTGCACATAAAAAAAATAATGTAAAGACTACAAAAATCCCAAATGACACACAGAAACCAACCATGTCAATTCATAATAATATATCATAACATTGATGCTAAGAAGATATTAACATTGATTGGCAGGCACATGGCAGAAAACACATCAATTTACATACGAAAAATTCAGCAGCCACACTGGGAATAGCCACATATGCTCCACATTTGCCAAGTTGAGTTCTAATATTAACACCATGGTGGTTACAATTCCTAAAAAAGTAACCACTCTTTCATAAATAGTAAGAAGAAAACATTATGGATATCTATCCATACACTTCCAAAAAAGATTTGTGTCAATCACTGATGATTACCCAACAGCCTAACCACCATACATTCTCTGGCCGCTTCATTGCATTGCATGAAGATATCAGTCAGATTGTTATCCTTGCCCAATTGCACAACAACAAGAACCCTTTTAGGCACCGTCAATTCTTCAAATTTTTCCAACTCTGCCATAATTGACATTCGCATGGCTACCCTCAGCTTGATGTTGAAAGCAAGATACCAACTTATCTATATTGTCATTTATTTTCCTGTAATTATGACTAAGATCCTTCATAACATCAACTACTTCTACAACCAATGGATCTTCACTTCTTTGTCGTTTCTTACCCTTCCTTACAGTAGCAGTAGACACAGGAGAAGGTGGCATGCCCTCCTCGGCAGGGATGTCGGGCAATGATGTATCATCGCAAGGTGTGGGTACATAGTTCCCCGTAAGACCAAGGTAATCGTCAAAAGCAGTCCTACTCTCCTCATTCAATGCAGTCTCTCGCTCCATTTCTTGTACCACATATGCTGGACCGTCTGCATTAACTTCGGTTGCAATATCTTTTCTGAAAAGCCCTCCCAAGTTGTCATAGTATGGGAATGCATTAGGGTGGCTCTGCATAACATTAAACATATGGTTAATGTAAATGCAAAAAAATTACTTTATCATATTTAAAGAAATGATACAATTACAGTACATATTATTTTCACCTTCACCCATTCATTGAAGATTTCCCTCTCAATCTCGATCATTTTCTTGGTACCATTCCACCCGAACCCGCTCCCACCAGCTGGTCCGATTATTTCAGCTATTGCATTGTACTATTTTTTTAACAACTTAACCCGAGATGTTATGTGAGGGATAACTCTGAGTGCATAACCAGGTATCTTTTGATGCATGAGCTTCTCTACAGCACCAGAAAATCCAAGTCTAAACCCATTATCTCCTTTCCAACTCAACCCTATGTTAATGAGACAATCTACAAGGACTTTATCCTCTTCCACAGTCCAGGTATGATTACTTCATTTCGTTGACTGCTGAATGTTTTCGTTTATAATGTGAAATGATGAAAAGTAATATCTGCCATAGGGAAAAATAGCAGCCAAATAATAGGTGAAAAAAAGGGAAATATCAAACCAATTTACGTTCAAATCCATGAATATAATGCCATAAGCTGTGTAATACTCAAATACAGGAAGCTATGATGACACAGAAGATAATGAGTCATAAGCAAACATTCAATATTATTACAAGAATATAGTAAATTGATCCAAGTTTTTAATCCAATATAAGACAATTTTATAAAAAAACATAAATATTGGACAATGACAACGATCAATTATCCAAATCAAACATGTCTCCTCCACGTGTTAAACATTTGTTGCGCCATATCATCCCTCAATAGTGTCCATGCATTAGAGGACTCTAAGTGAGTTATCATATCATGTCCTCCCATCT